AAATAAAGGTGACTAAAGGTGTTCTACTGTAGTTTTTTGTCCTATTGTTTGTAATTATTATTTTTTTTAAATTTAATCACAGATTGTTTACTTTTCAGTGAGCTTGAGTTGTTTTTTTATTTAGGCTAGTATTCGTTTTTTGTGATATTGACACTGGTGACTAGAATTATGACATTTCTATGGTATCAAAAATATTTAAAAAAATCTATATGGTGATATATAGCTACTGTGAAATAAAATTACTCATATTGTGATATACAATTTTGGTCATATTGCCACCCCTAGTAGAGAAGTATGCATATTTGGATGCAGCCTGTCTTTGTTTCATTCCATGAATCAGTTATTTGAACAAATTGGTTGAGTGAATGATTCAAATGACTTACACATAAAGACAGCCACTTCTCATCATCTACTAGTATAACGATGTAACCTACACAAAGAGTTGCTGAAAATCCACAAATGCACAGACTAGAATGTGCAAATACTGATAAAAACGGAGAAGGTCACAAGACTGAACAGAAATTTTACTCATTTACTGTTCCCAATACAGTGAATGACATTTAAGTCCACTATATGGAGAAGAAATGAACAAAATGATTAAATTCGGACTAATACCAGCACACGTGGAAGGCCAAATAAATCGAAGAACAGAACTAACTTGTATAAACTTAATTACATTTTTAGTAAATCAAAACCTGACACAATTTAAGCCTCAAGGCCTGTTCACACCAAGAATGGTAATCAACTATTTTTATGTTCTGTTTATTATAAGCACATACTGCAGTTATGTCCTCTGCTGCTTTAAATGCTCAAGCTCTTTAAATCAGCCTGGATTCTGACTGACAATGTTTTTATCGTTCATCAGCTGGAAAAAAATTCCGATAGAGATTCTAAAAATATAATTCCTGTCTCGTTATTGTTATAGTTGTGGTGTGGATTTATTCTCATAGAATTAAAACGATTTTTAAAACTTTGTACCTATTGGTGTATTTAATTATAGTGTATGTAAGAGCGTCTATTTCTAAATAAAATGAAAAAAAAAAAAAACTATAAAAAAAAAACTGTATAAACTTTGTTTTTTGCTAGAAGAAAAAAAATCTGCGACATTAAATCCCTTCAAATCTTTCAAAAGATAACATTGACTAAGCAACTTATCTGACTGGCATGTTTTCAAAAAATATCTCCAAATCTCACCGCTCACTGTCACATTCACCCGGTGCTCCGAGACAGACGTGCCACTGTTACCATGGACACGGATTCTGCAGGTATAGACTCCGTTGTCTTTACTGGTGACGCGAGGCAGCTTGCTGAGCAGACTGCCCGTGCCATGGGAGATTTCAGTGTGTAGCTGTTCACCTGAGGGAGACACCCACGTTCCCCAGGCGGCTACGGAGGAGGGAGACACCTGAGCTGCCAGTCTCACAGTACTGTCCACTGTGACAGGGGGCGTGGGAGTGACAGATACTGCAAAAGAGAAGGAGAGAATACCTGGAGATATCAGACACATTGAGACACGAAGAATGCGTTGTGGTGCGGTTGTGTGGTCTACATTTAATCAGGCCGAGAAGAACAATCCTCTCCTGTAGCTTCTTGTCATCCTGCTCTATCACACAGGAGTAGTGTCCTTGCGCAGCTGCTGCGGCCCTGAAGATCAGTGAGGCATCTGCGGAGATCCCAAACGTTCTGCCTCCAAACACTCTGCTGCTGCGTCCATCTGTTTGTCCGTCGATGCAGTTGGCTGATAACAAATATGACCAGCGATCCTCCCTGGCTGACATCATCTTCCAGGTAACCAGTACAGAAGTTGTGGGTGGTGAATCAAAGCAGGACAGCGTGACAGATGTGTCCTCACGTACCATGACCACATCATTCCATACATCACCTATATAGACCAGATTCTTTAGGCACAAGAAGTCACACAGACTCTTTTACTGAAAATGCATTACATTTAGATAAATAAAACATATCATATCAGCTAAACATTCAAATTAGCTGAAAATGTACTCACCTTCACACCATACAAGATGTCCAGATTTGGCGAGATTTAGAATTATTTCACTTGCTCACCAACAGTGTTGGGTTAGTTACTCATAAAATGTAATATATTACTCATTACTAGTTACTCCTGTCAAAAGTAATACTTATTACTCCCGGCCAACAGTAACTAGGCTAGTTACACTAGTTACATTACTTTTCCATTACACCCCAAAAACGTGGTAATTGCATAATATTTGCAGCCTCTGAATACATGAAAGTTACAGATAAATGAAGACTATATTTGGCTCAAACTGATGACAAGCCACAATATTTTAAGCAACTTCTGTTATTTAATAAAGCAGCAACATAGTAAAATCTGCAACAGTGCTCAAGCAGGTTGAACAAACCAAACATCTTACACATAACACTGCTCACCAATGGACCCTGTGCAGTAAATGGGTGCCATCAGAGTCCAAACAGCTTATAAAAACATCACAATGATCCACAAGCTGCAAGCAGCTGTTTGGACTCTCATTCTGATGACACCCATTCACTGTAGAGTATCCAATGGCGAGCAAGTGATGCAATGCTACATTTCTCCAGATCTGTACCTGATGAAGAAACAAACTCATCTACCTCTTGGATGGTATGAAGGTGAGTAAATTTCAGCAATTTTTCATTGAGGTAACTACTTTTTTCATGCTGTACTGAAGTGAAAGCAATGATTAAAAAGGAATAAAAAATGACTTTGTATTAAATCTGTCTTTTTACATACATTTTGTAAAATCTTTTTTTCTCTCAATTATTTTGCAGACCCCCTTAAACCCCCTTTCAGCCCCCTGGGGGTCTCTAGATCCCAGTTTGAGAACCCCTGTAGTGTAGTGTTGTGTAAGCTGCAGTTATCTATGTTAATCAGCCAATGAATATAAGCCCAACGCAATTTAGTGTCTCAGTGGTTCATTTAGATAACACAGAATCCCCCTTAAGTGCTCCTAGTCCCTAATGTATGTTTGATTTTTCGGTATATTATTAAATTAGTTATACTTGGAAATTTCACTTTTCAAGTTTCAAGTTCAACTTTATTTAAGCCAACCTAAAGTGATGAAACATTCCAAAGGTGGGTGGGTGAAAAAAAAAATACATTATCTAAATATATGTATATATTAGATAAAAGATTAGTTTAAAATAAAATAATACAAATAAAAATAATAATAATACACACACACACACACACACATATAGATTTTCATACCTGCCATGAGTGGAGAGATGAGGAAACATGAACCAGAACAAATAAGTAATAAAGCATGAAAATATTTTCCCATGGTGCTGCTAGGAAGCAACATATTCTTAATAGTTAGCTAGTTAAAGTGCACGAATATGTCTTCTTTTCTCGCATTTGACCACAAGAACAAGACAGGAAAAGGGCCCGACATTAAGAGCTGAGAGCAACATCTGACAGAAGCTGATAAACACAACAAATGTCAAAACACTTCCAAAAAACGGAAGCAATTTTACAAACATGGAGGCTGATAAAACAGAGCACACACTAATTTATATGCAACTATACAATCATAATGAGATAAGTCAATGCTTTTATCTGCAGTCACATAGTTATGCTTCTGGCTTTAACAAGGAACATATAAGAACAAATAACACCAAATAAGCTAATTTCTGACCTCTAAATCATACGAAAAGTTGGTCGTCCATAAAAGTGGACAGAGCAGACTGTTAGGCAAGAGTTGACTGTGGGAATTGCTCGTGAAAAGACAGAGAGAGCATAAGAAAAAGGATTTAGAGATGTAATCAGAAATGGTCTTCAGCTTCTGGCTAAATGTCTTTACATCCCCGTAAATGTCTTTAATTAAAGCTAACAGACTTATCAGCACCTCCAAGTCCCATTACCAGCTCAGCTCCGAATCACCTCTGAGCTAAAGAATGAAAGAGGGTCTACAAAAAAAAAGAGAGATAAAACTGAAGAAAACTGAAATGAGAAAGGATGGACTGGGTAAATGAGCAGGGGATAGAGAAACTTCAGAGAGAGCAAACTAGGGCAAAGCAGCTAATGAGAGTCATAGTAGGCTATACTGTGCGTGTCATTGGCCCCATGCAAACAATCAGAAAGAGAGAATGAGTAAAGAGAGAGATGCTTGGGTTATGATTTAATGGGGTGGTGGAAGTGACAGATACTGAATGTGACTAGTGAGGTACAATCAAACATTCTGCCTATATAGGACAGATCTATTTCAGCAGACATAATGATCTCACTCAAACATACAGATTTGTTCTCTATTTTGCTTTCTATCTGAGGAAAAATCTAAAAAAAATAAAGCATAACTTCTGAACAAAAGCTGTTTCGGAGATGTAGATCTGTAGAACTGGAAATATTTGCGTTTATTTCACAGATGATCAAGGGCTAGCCGTGATGTTTTAGTTACATGTTACCAGCAGGGGGAGCGCTACAGCTACTTTTACTAGTTCATTTACTACAACTCGACAACTTGAAACAAAACTTGGCCAAAATATAATTCTGGCACTCATTACTTGTTCCTTTGCATTACCGGTAACTCCACGAACCTCATGATGAATGAATCTGCGTTCAACTGGAAACGAAACCAAAAATACAAAGAGGAAAAGCACAAATCCAGCAAGAAACTAAACTCATTTCTGAAACTAAACTCAAGAGTTTCAGAAGCCACGAAAAGCCAAGAAAAACTATCTTAGGCTATATTCAGAGCGGACAGCATAATAGCCCGTTTGAACGGATTAGAAATATTAGCTACATTGTTACATTACGTTACAATATTACACATTATTATGATAAAAGTTGTCTCGAAAGGATTAAATTATCGTTTGGTTACCTTAAACTTAAAAGAGTGCAACGGTCAAAACCTTGTTAAAGTTGGAAAGTACCAAAGCGTTTTCTGAATTTTAGAATTTAGGTGGCTTTAAATGCTGCGTGACGTAGCATGACATCACACGCTCGAGTCCAATGAGCGGCGCTTCTGCTAGAGTTTCAACAGAGTGCGATCCCTGCGCGACAGGTTTGATGAGAAACCTCGTCTGCGAAACCTCCAACTCACTCACCGGATATTTATTCACCTGTACGACGTTTTTACCTGGCCGCCGGACGCCGCGTCACAGTTTCGGAGGACTTGAGCTATCAATACAATTCAAAAGGGAGTTTTGACACTAGATTGTAAACCAACTCCAAAGGAACGCGCTGAATACAGCGACGCACTTTACCATTAAGTTTCTGCGCTCGTCCATTAAAGGAAACCAGAGGAACCACATAGCAGTATTTATCTCCATCTGACTATCTTGGTTTATTTTTTTTGCGACTCTGAGCTGATTGAGTTTAACAAGCGGAAAACCGACAAATAGGTGGACTGTCCACCCTTCCCTCCGATGAACATGTCAGGACTGTTAAGCGCACTCATTCTCCTAATTATTCAAGGTAAGACATATCATATCATGTTTAAAAAGTCAAAGGAATCACTAGTTGTTGCCGGTTATAAAATATACTGTTCTCTTTTACTTTCATTTTAATAGATAACCTCAATCAACGCGTTTGCGCAACTCGATGTCATGATAGAAATATCCTTCAGTCTATCTTTAATCGTGCGCGCGCTTCTCCCGCTGCTATCTCAATACATTCAAGATGACTATATTCATCTAAAAACAATTTTATTAACTAGCCCAGTGTCTCATAGTACGGGGGGAAATAACTTTGCCTGTTTGATCTTGCATCTCGTTTCTTTTCCCTGGAGATTGTATGAGTTTGGTTTCGATAAGCGCCATGTTTCCCTAGGCGTGGTCTTGGAAGTGTTTTTTTTCCCTATTGTTGACAGGTGTGTTTTTTTTCTCTCGAAACTACGGACATTATCCAGTCGTCCTTCAGTGCTCCCTCTCTCTTCCTTGTACCACATTTCTCTCGGTTCCTCACGTCCTTGGCGTCTTTTCTCCCTTCACGTAATATCCTATTATTTCCAGCTGAAGGGGCACAAATGAATGTAAATCAATCCGTCTATCACTCAACAAAAGCAACAGGGTGTTTCTTACTATTTTTAAACGTGGGTTTTCAACTTGGTATTATTTTACTGTTTTCTTTTAAAGATTAAAATCACTCTTTCAGAGCGTCATTTTGTTTAATTTTAATAATATAATTAATTTGACAGTCAGTCAATCATTAATTTCCCGAAATATCAAAGAGCTGTTAATAACATAGGCTGACGTCACTGCCTATTGTTTCGTCATATTTCACTGCACGCCTCGTGCACTGTAGCTCCTTTTGATCGTAGATTCAGGGGCTTCATTGTCTTTGCAGTTTAATTATTCAGGGGCGATGTCACGGTTCGCAGGTGCACTACACCTGACAGCGAGCGAGCCGGGCTGGTGTGAGTGTCATGAAAAAGCTTGAGTGTCTAACCGAGCGCACACACGGTAAAAGATGTTAGAAATTTAAATGAAAAAAGAATGTCAATGCTGCAATACAACTTGTCACTGGTTAACTGTAAGTTGCCATAACCGCTAAAAATATTTAGTTTATTATTTTTTTCTAAATAGATTTTAAAAGAGAACGTCACTAAGTATTTTTCATCTGATTTTTAGAAGTTTATATAATATTAGACTATGTATTATTGTATTATATATAATAATGCATAAATAAAAAAATAAACTATATATTAAGTATTTATTCCATTTATTTTATATTTAACATGGCAATATGTAGGCTATACTTTTTATGCTATATGTATGCGTGTATATATACAGTGGTGGCCAACATGATTAGAACACTAGTATTTTCACCAGCTAAAAATGGTTTAAAGTCAGTTATTTCTATGGTTTGCTGTAGTGTGTCTGTAGGAAATATCAGTTTACATTTCCAAACATTCATTTTGCCATTAATTGTAATAATCCAGTGAGATTTGTGCTCCACACAGAGAACTGATCTCATTATCATCATCCAGTCTGTCTGGAATGACATGAAGAAACAGAACAAACTGAGACAGACTAAATCCAGAAGAACTGTGGCAATGTCTCCAAGATGCTTCAAGAAACCTACCTGCAAAGCTACAGTACTGTTAAAAGTTTTAGTCGCTTGTGTAAAAATGCTGTAAAACGAGGATGCTGTTAAATATAATGTCATAAATAGATATTCTTTGTCAATTAACTTGGATTAACTGGATTTAGTCTGTCTCAGTTTGTTCTGTTTCTTCATGTCATTCCAGACAGACTGGATGATGATGATCAGATCAGATCTCTGTGTGGAGCACTGGCTGTTGTCAGACTCCTTGTGCAAACAAAAATATCACTGGATTATTATAATTAATGGCAAAATTAATGTTTGGAAATGTAAACTGATATTTCCTACTGACACACTACAGCAAAAGATAGAAATAACTGACTTCAAACCACTTTTTAGCTGGTGAAAATACCAGTGTTCTAATAATTTTGGCCACCACTGTATGTATATGACATTATGCATTAGGGGGATATGATGTGTCGAAGGTTTGTGACATCATAGGATGCAGTTCTTTGTCGTAACTTAAAAACAATTCACTCCTTTAACTTATTCATGGTCTGGACCTCTTCTGCCTGGGCTCATTTCACAGTACATCGACTGCACTTCAGGAGGAAAACTAGAATAACGAAACAAAGGATTTCTTTTATTTATGAACAGAGCAGCGGAAGAAGGGGTCATGATTGCCTCGCTTAAGCAAACAGTATAAACAGGCCTTGTGTTTTCTTTTTCCCCCCTTCCCTTTGCATCCATTTAGTTCAGTGTCCTGGGAGCTTTTGCCTTTATACGCAGCAGTTATTTTAAGGGTCAAAACATTGTTTTGTATGCTTGCCTCAGTGGCCCCTGCAGACTCATTTTCATTGCGTGCCTATTAAATACAATCAGACCAACTTCAAGCAGGCTAATATAAAAGCTTTATTTTAATAACCTCATTGTTGCTTTCGAAATTAAGAGCTATATAGACAGGAAGCAGGTGTAAGCTAGTTTTATGATTGTTAAACTTGCGCCAGTTCATCTTTCTAGTTCCAGACCGAAATGACGGCAACCGGGAGCAGAGATCTGCACAATAGAAACTACTGATTGTGTTATAATGCCCTCCTAGTGAACACCGGTCAAAAAAAGCTTGAACCCGTTGCCACGGTGACGCTGTGTTTTCATTGAAAGCCGGGGTTAGGGGGGCTACTGTAGCGGCGTCTCTGGCTGAATGCATCAAGTGGTGTGTGTGGGTTTAGGAGGAGGGGGTTCGAAAATGTTAGGCTGCTCCACTGATGGAGGCGGAGGCCAAGCTGACCTTATTCTAAACTGTGTGAGCACAGCAGTTACAGACGCACACTAACAAGCACAAGCAGCGATTGCGACAGTGCTGGCTCAAGTGGGTTAAACAGTGAAGAAGTGTTGAGTAAACGGGCGAGACGGTCTCCATTGTCCGCCAGTTCCACATACCGGGGAGCATGTAAACAAAAGTCGCACTGAAACTGAAGCTTTTCAGCCTCCATTCTTCCATTTTCTCGCGTTTCCTTCCTTCCCTCCCTTCCTCTCTTTCTGCGTCCATTGCCGTCCTTATCCGCTTGCTTTTGTTTGAGAGATGATTGTCATTGGTGTATTCAAATCTTCCCCCCACCCCTCCTCGCTCTGACCTCAAGGCCACTCTGTTTATTAGCGTCTGAGCTGGTGAAAGAACGTGGGAGGAGGTGTAGCAGTAGACAGAACTGACTGTGGAAAGAACATTGATTTAAAAACGTTTCATTACTGCGAGAACTCTTACGCAAGTTTATCAGTCAGTATTTTCTTAAAAATAAAGGTTGAAAAAGGGAGTTTTTGCATAGAAGAACCATTTTGGGTTGCCTAAAGTTTGAGTGAACAGTTCCTAAAAGAACCATTTATTTGTTAGTGTGAAGAACACTAACACTTTAGAGAACCTTTTGTGCAATGGAAAGGTTCCGTGGATGTTCTTCATGGAACCATATGCCAATAAAGAACCTTTATTTTTAGGGGTGTATATGAGGTAGTTTTCCTCTGAATATGGTTGTCCAGAGACTGTTAAAAGACTTTTTGGAAACCATGTGTGCGGGTGAAGGGAGCCGACAGTGATTTTGGATGTCTCATTCTGGTTTCTTGTAAAGAGAAGGTTGGATGAGTGTTGGGGGATTTGTGGATGGGGGGACCAAAGCTTTTAACACTTGTCGCAGGTCTGTGTTTGACATGCGGCTCTGGGAATGCATTCTGCTGAAATCAATGACTGACCTTGTAATTAACATCAACCTGCACTAATATGTACACTAGAGATTTCCCGCAAAGGTTTGTACGATATCCACAGCACACAATGAAGTCTGAATTCTGAGTGATGGGTCAAATATAATACAAGTAACTTTTGTGGTCAGGGTTATTTTCAGAATGGCTTTTTCTCTTTCTATTCGTTCGAAAGCGGAGCTAAAATGAATCTCAACTGGTCCTTGAAGCACTTAGAGGACTAGGCTCTTTCGAGCGTTTCTTTTCTGACTGCCTGGCTCTATTCTTGTCACTTTCTTTCTCTCGCTCTGCTCTCAGTGGTTCAGTGGTTCAGCAGATGTCAGATCTCAGAATGCTTTTACAGTATTAGAGATTCATGGGGTTGATATGTCCAGTTAATTGGACCTCATATTTTAGTCTTGCGCCTGATGATGGAAAGCCAACCGACCATTGTGGGCTGCAACAAGATGGTGAGAAGTGAAACAAAAGTGGCAGCGAGGAATGAGAAAGCAGGGTTTTGCTCTTGCTGTCTTTTACCATCCACTTCTAAAAGTGCCATGTGATCTTGTGGTGAAATTGTCCTCTATTTTATGCATCTAGGAAATGCAGACAAAAATAGCACAATAATGCACAAACATAAGGCAGCATGTTATCACATCCCATGCTGGCTGAGTTTACCTCCCTGTCCCGTTGCATACTGGGAGATCAGCGACCCTCCAGGGGTCAGTAGCCAGTTGGTCTGAATAGTGGTATGTGGTTGCCAGTTTGATGTGGGAATGTCGAGGGTTGCCAGATTGCTGTAGTAGGTCGTGTCTACTCATAGGGAAAATGACCAAAGATCTGCCCTTTTTAAAATAGAAGCCAAATGGCTTAAAAAGGAATAGGACATGATGAGTGTTCATCCCCTCTAGACAGAATGCCATCCCGTTCGTTTTATGATTAACATCACAACCCTGAAGGTTTTTTGGGATGCTGTAGCTGTCTGGTTTGCTGGCTCCATATTCACTCAGCTTTGGTTAGTCATGAACTTGATAGAAACAGTCTTAATTTAGTGGATTAGTTCACCCAAAAATTAAATTTGTCTTCATTTCATTCTCATATGTTCCACACTGACTTTCATTTTCCGTAGAACATAAAAGTAGATATTTAGTAGAATGTCCAAGCTGCTCTATTCTGTACAACCAAAGCAGGACAGAAAAGACAAT